AAGTTTTGAGTTCTAGGCTGAGACAGATAGTGTCTGTGTGAAGGAGTACAATGTACTCTGGTATTCCCCGGTCCAGCTCGTCACTATATTTGCTTGCTTCCTTATTACATCTCTGCAACAACGCTTACTACACCTCTTCGGCAGTCCTCTAATACACCGAAACGCAATACATCGTTCCACGAGCGATTGCTCTTTCTGGTCGCGAGGATCGCTTTTACATGCAATTTCCCGACTCTGACTCCGATCTCACCCCACCTGAAAAAACGGAGGACAAGGAGGCTCAGGCTTTGGCAAAGGCAAAAGGCGCTCAGGCTTTGGCAGAAGCAGCGGCGAAAGAAGCAGCGGAGACAGGAGCAGAAGCAGCGGCGAAAGAGGCAGCGGCGAAAGAAGCAGCGGCGGCAGAAGCAGCTGCGAAAGAAGCAGCTGCGAAAGAAGCAGTTGCGAGAGAAGAGATAAGAGCAGCGGGGACAGGAGCAGCGGAGACAGGAGCAGCGGAGACCGGAGCAGCGGAGACAGAAGAAAGAAGAGCAGCGGAGACAGAAGCGGCTGCGAAAGAAGCAGCTGCGAAAGAAGCAGCTGCGAAAGGAGCAGCGGAGACAGAAGAGACAGAAGCAGCTGCTGCCTCTTCCGCAGCCTCTTTCCTTGAAAAGCAAGGGGGCTCATCAGTGCCAGCAAAAGAATCGACGGAGGCTGACAAACCAAAGTCCCACTTCCAATTGCTTACCAAAGAAAAGCTGAAAAAAGAAAAGTAATACGTTTGCCGTTTGAATAGACTGCATTCGTTTTGTTTGTGGAAAGGATATAAGTAAGAGGATGTGATAGAAGAACGATCATGAGTATCGGTGGAATGTATAATGGGCTGGTGAGATAATCAAGATATGTCTTCTTTTTTTCACTACGAAAGTACGAAGTATGTATTGAGTTTCTTTTTCCAGGATTTCTCACGAGACACGTAGGTACTAGGTATTAAGTATTAATTGGTTACGGTAGAGACTAAGTATGTCATGAATCAGGGCACAGGTTTTTACTATCGTAGCTGAACAAAGTGATGCACTACTCGTCTTACCTTATTATCAGACACAGGAGTCAGTTAATCAATCAGGTAGTCATGCACTCATTTGAACTCATTTGTAGCTGATTTCATGGTGTGCGAGTAAATGACTCTCTACGCTTGCAGTTCTGAAAACACGTTATTGCATCGTATCAGGTTTTTATTCACTCTTGTTCTGTCTTATCTTTTATTCCACACCATCATCTCCCACACCAACTTCTGACTCTCCCGCTCTATCTTTTATTCCACACCATCATCTCCCACACCAACTTCTGACTCTATCCTTTCTCTCGTCAATTCTGCTTTCAGGGGTCCAACGATCCTTTCTCTCGTCAATTCTGCTTTCAGGACTGGAACGTTAGGATCCGAGGATTCAAGAAGACAAATGCTCGATTTCTTATCCGGTCGCAGACAGCGTCGCACTGGTTTCAAGACCTTCGCCGTTGAGAAGACGGAGCAGCCTCTTTGCGAGGTGACCAATCTCTCTTATGATGGTTATACTTGTTTGATCGAGAAGTAGCTTGTGCTACCTGAAAGCTAGTAGCTACTTGATATTTTAGGTAACCTGAGACTATCTTGTGTTTGTCTTCACTCAGAAGTCACCGAGTAGCATGTGTTTGATCTACCTCTCCGTACATCGAGTAGCAGCTACTTGAAATCTTCTTGAGTGAAGTAATGAGTCTTAGAATATGGGGTCCGTGTGGTGTCCTACGTGAATAACTGATGTGAAGATCCTGGACTTACTTAGTTCCCATCCACTTGTTATTGCAATGCGAGAACTTGCTAGAGCTATTGCTAGTCTCTGTGGGCCCCGCATAACGGGAATGTTGGTGAACTGCACTTTCATAAAACCGTTGTTTCGAAGGACGGCGACGGCGAACAAAAACCAGAATGGTCTTGGAAATGGACCGATCCAAGAACACAAAACGAAGGTACTAGGAATATAGTACTTTCGTACCGGGTGACGTGTTTCTTTGTTCGCTTGATGTTTTCATTGAAAGGCATAGCTCTCTTGTTCTACTAAACGGAATATATTCCCTCCCATGTAGTCATCCTCTTATAATCTCTCGAACAGCTGATGGCAAAAGCAGTGATGCTTGGAAACAAGAAGGGACAGAATGGGCTCTACCAGCAGATTATGGATGTGGTAGTACTTATCATATCTAGAAGTCCACTTCTAAACTTATCAGATGAACAAGATTTACACTAATCTTCTATCTTCACTCAGGTATCTACATAATTCACGACATTACTTTATTATGTTGGCACTAGTAGCAGCACGATAGATAATGCTAATCCTGAATGTCTGTACCCCAGAGTGGGTTAACTACTACTGCTACCCTACCATCATGACGAGAAGCAGTCTTCATCCACTACGTGCTCCCATCTATCATCTACCATCGATCTTCATCTATGCTTGATCCTTCAATCCTTGCCCTTCATCTATGATCCGCTACCCATTTTCTACCACCGATAAGACTATGATGATTCCCCGCACCTCCATCCACAAGACTAGGATGATTCCCCGCACCTCCATCCACAAGACTAGGATGATAACCTCTACTTTTGTCCGCAAGAATAGGATGATTCCCCGCACCTCCATCCACAAGACTAGGATGATAACCCCTACTTTTATCCGCAAGACTAGGATGATAACCCCTACTTTTATCCACAAGACTAGGATGATTCCCTCTTTCATTCCAGTCTTGCTTGCCTTGAACGTGATGCGGTTGAGATGGATTCGTTGAGCCCGGATGCTAGCGATTCGATAATTATGACAGGATATAATGAAGATCGCCAGGAACAACGATGTAGATTCGTTACTACATGGTAAAGAAAATTTGTTTATTGGCACTTTAAAAAATCTTTTTTCGATTGTTTTTACTAACTACGTACACATAAAGAATAGTAACAGGTTGGTTTTCCGTTATTATAAATCCTAGACTAGTCCCTCCAGTCGAATAATTATGAAAGAGCCGAAATGGTACTTGGTACTAGTCGCTTTACACTGAAGATGCTAACAAAGAAGTTCTGATGCTGGGCGAGGCGTCTGGAGAGGTTGATGTTGCCTTAGACGAATCCGAATCCGGAGATGACAATACGCTCGAGGACTTACACAAGTCAATGAAAGACAATTTACGGAAATTATTTGATGAGTAATTGACTTCCCTCTTGCATGTAAGTAAGTAGCTTGCTTTTTTGTCTCTACGGGCTATCAGATTTTTACATATTGTGAATTTCTTTATTTCTTGAGAGGCTCATTTCTTGCAGCAAATGACAGGATTTATTGTTTACTGAAATGGAACGAAAAAGTGAATTCATGTTTACAGCAACAAAGCTCTTCTCTTGTCTAAGGTCGAACAGAATACTGTTTACTTTTCGCTTCAAAAGAGCGTCGTAGGTCCCTCCCTCTATATCATGCTTAATCTTTCCCTGACTTTGTGGTTCAAATCTGGTCTGCTTGCTTCAGCTCTTCAAGCGCTGCACTTTCCCTACTGATTCTCTTACTTCACTGTTACTGCTAACATATTACTGGTTCTTCCTTAATATTAGGCTCCAAGTTCTTTGTCTGGTTGGTTCAGACATCGCTTGAGCTTTTTGTTTCGATTACTAAGAATTCTAGTCGACGACCTACTACGCTGTTGTTCGTATAATAAGGTAGTACGCTTCATCTTTTTGATCCTTCTAACTATAACCGCGCAGGAGGGCGAGAACAAACCAGCAAAACCAAAGGCGACACTGGTACCTGCAACGGACATCGGAGGAAAGAAATTTAGCAGGATGAAGTGGCCTTTATGGAGGAATCAGAAGCCTAGATGTTGGCACGATCATTAGTCATATAGCGGTAGACATCTGACTATTTCCTCCCCGAGAAGAACGCTGGACCGAGGACCAGGGTGAGATACCGGGAGATCCAATCCCAAAAAAAAAAGGGCGCCTTTATCTCATGACTAAAGAGGAGCAGAAATTTCTTTCGGCGCAAATATCTCAGAGTAGAGCATCATGCTTGTTTTTGTTTTCGGTTGGTCGTTACTTAGTTGTGTACTTCTCCATGTTGTTGTTAGTTCGGCAAAAAAATTGGCACGACGTTGATCCATAGGATGACCCTTTGCTTCCCAGTAGCTAGACCTATCCTTTTTTATCCCTTGACTTTCTACAACTGCTACCCTATGCTAGCCTACCCAATCCCAGTCCTTCCTACCCTAGTATTTTCTACAAGTGCTGCGCGCATATTTTCTCCTATAATTTTGCCTTTCTACCCTGTTATCTCCTACAACTTCCTGACCCTCTATCATTGTCGCTGGATGAGATGGCAGCCGGTAACGATCCCCGGTATGTTCTACCACGACACCTCCACGATGCTGTTTACGAGGTCCTCAAAGAACAGGAGGACCGAACGAAAGTTATGATTATTGATTATCTGTTTAGTAGGCTTTCTGACTTTCAGTATTTCTTTGCATTTGAATGAATGATTTTTGATTTAGTATCTCTTCGCATCAGAATGAATGAGGGCATGGACAATGACGCGGATAACAACTATCGCTGGTCGAAGTTGTAGAACTTTTTTTGAAGCGAAGTTGTAGAACTTTTTTTTTGTGTTCGCTACTTCATAAACGCTCTAATACAAGAACATTGGACGGCTTTCTTCGACGTTTTGAGTTACGGGCACGATATTGAAACCTTCTTCAACAGACAGGATCTCTAATAGGAGCAGCTTTACCTTCAAGACACTTGTTTATCTTTGCTCCTCTACCTGTTTTAATGAGTTAGTTGAGTTGTGTGCACGGACCGGCGTGGAGACAGTAGGATACCACAAAAATAACTACTTATTCATATTAGCTAAGGGCTTCCACCTTGCATCCTGCACCAACGTCCCCGACTCTTTTCCACGACTCTTTTACGAGTGCAATGTTATCGGAACCTCTAATATTCGGAGGAGAAGTGGCAAAGAAGAGCAATTTCGAAGTACTGAATAGAGCAAGAAAGTACATGGAGTGGATGCGAAAAAATTGGCATGAACGAGCGGTGAACGCCAGAAACGAAGCAGTGTTTTACGCTCATGTCGCTTCTAGTACTCTTTTGTATCATTTCTCTCCACGTAGTACCTTGACTGTTGTCTAGAAGAGTGGCACTGTGGCACTGTTGTACAAAAGATGAATTATACTATTTTTTTGTCTCTACGGTGGCCATTTTGTCTCTACGGAAGCCGGCTGGCTTTTCGGCCGAATGTACGGCCCTATGCGCCCCCAGTATGTAAATTGTTTGATTATGCAACACGCATGTTTAAGGGATTAATAGGGCGGCGGCATATAGTCCTAACGCAAAGAAAAAAAACTCTGCGGTGGTCGGTACTGACTTCAGCGATCAATCAACAACTGATGACTCATTATTATAGAGAGTAGAAGCCCACTTGAAGGGCAGCCGGTAGCTACGCGGAAAATATGTAGGCAGGTCCTTCACGGAACTCGCTTGCGATACAAAAAATTGAATTGAATAGAGAGCGCTTTTGCTATTATTTCTGTTCCTAGGTAGGTGCCCTCCTACTCTCATAGATAGTGGTTGGAGGTACAATCTAATTTGCGAGCCGCCCGCTCCTTTGGATGAAGGAGGGGAGCGAGTGTACTGCAAGTGATGGGAACCGGGGACGCTGCGTTGTTCGGACAGCCGATGCTGACAATAACCCCCTGGGGTGCAAAAGGGTTGTGTGTGCAACAGACGTATTATTTTCATTTAGACTGGAACAGGCAAAACTAGGCAACACTTGTACATCAAGGGGAACAACTTTTAACTATTATTTCAAATTTAGACCTTAAAGAGTGGAGTCCTAGTTATGCCTCATTTTGGTTTCTTTTACGCTCTACACTGACTTCAAGAACAAAGTAAGTAGTACAGTTATACATCAATCTTTTTCATGCTGATTTCTTTTGTTTCTAATTACTGGAGATTCTTTTTGTTCTTATTCTGTTTGTTTTTTATTCTTTCTGCTGGAAGTAAGGCATAGAAAATATATTCATAGGTTCTACTGGAAATATATTCATCTGACTACTTCATAAGAGTCTGGTCTATATCTGGTGATTCAGTTGTAGACCCAGGCACCAAAAAAGAAAAGCTGTATATCTTGTGCCTTATTGATGAATGAATTAATTTTATTCATCAGGATAAAGATAATTCGGATGCTGAGTCCTTTCCTGAAGAGGGCCACAATGACGAAGGAGAGAAAATCAGTGCTCATTGCGATCAAATGGAACTGGAAAACAAGGAGAATGCAGCGAAGCCTGTAGACTTGGGACGCCGATTGCTCTGTTCCCTCTATAACTATAAGTCCGAGGCTAGTACGCTTATGCGCGACCATTTTTAATAAAGGCAAGTGTCCTTGTTTTTGGTTTTCCCAGTTAGGCTGGCTCCACCACTACTAGTAACGGCAAGTATCTTTCACGATTTTGAATTGGAACCCATCTCTTGGATTCACAATCTAATACTTCGTTCATTTATTGAAGAAACTCATTCCTTGGCGAAATTTCTCCAGTAATATATCAGTTTCTTCTGGGATATTTTGACACCCATGCATCTCTAACAACAAGGTGGAGAGTACGCACCAAATCCTGAATTTGATTGGAAAGTTGCCGAATTATGCTGAAAATTATTACTTACTCAATAGTAAACTACTGCATGAACTGCAACGCGGGGTGACTTAGTATTGATTGTCTCTGTCATTGTACTCAATAAACTACTATGAATTTTAGTAGTTTTCTACGCTGCATTTTGCAAAATAATTAGAGTTACGCAGGCAAATATTGAATGGACTGTTGTGCCTCGTACTAGTACTTAAGATCTCAAATTTAGCGTAGTTCATACTCATACTAAAATGTTTTGTACCTCATATATCTCAGGTCGTTAGTCCCTTCATGCCAGTCTTGAAGTTCGGACCTTTTTGCTTTCATACTGATATTACAAACTTCTGAAAAGCGTCAAATGAGTCGTAGTAGTGAAGTAGACCTGTTCTTGCTTTCATACTGAAGGGGAAGCTCCTTCTTTGTCTGAGCCTGTTGAGATTGGCGACTTATTAGCAAGGCAGCTCGGAGAAGTTTTGAAGGAATATTAAGGCTTCCGGAACTACTCTTCCTTTTTGAAAAGCATCTTGGTAGCCTGTTGGAGGCTACGGACGTTCGCCCGAGAATGCAGGTAAAACTGCGGACGGCGGACGCTCAATTCCTATCCAATTCTATCCTATCCCGTGTAAGGGGGAAACGGGTCGTCCAAGATGCTTTTCAAAGTGGGAGACTCCCGGAAGGTCTAAGAATGCTTTGATTGGAAGGGTCCGTCGTTGCAGTTAGCACCTATGGTGGAGCACGTTTCCAAGCACTCCAAGGAGTGGCTCACGCGACGGCAGCTAAAGCCACTTTCAGAAGTACCTTTATGGGAAGAGGGTTTAGGGTTGATTGATGCGGTAACCTTCCGTTGCGTTCTGTAGATTCAATGTACTAGACTCAATGTACTAGATTCAATGTACTAGATTCAATGTACTAGATTCAATGTACTAGATTCAATGTACTAGATTCAATGTACTACAACTAGATTCAATGTACTACAACTAGATTCAATGTACTACAGCTAGATTCAATGTACTACAGCTAGACTCAATGTACTACAGCTAGATTCAATGTACTACATCTAGATTCAATGTACAACTGGACTCAAAAATGTACTAGATTCAATTTCAATGTAGATTCAATGTTAGATTGGAGTCTGTTTTATAGATGGCACCTCGGCACTGTTTTATACATAGCTTGATTTATTTTGATTGATGTTGATGCTTGTATAAGTACTATGGATTCACTGGTAGTACTTCTATACATAGAAGAAGATATTTATTGGAACACAACTAACACTGGGGGAGTCCAGAGCTGCCAGTGTCACAGAAACACTGTCAGACCACGTCTCTACGGTCACTATGAAAGGTGACAACAGGCGGGACATTAGCATGCAAGAACCAATAAAGGACCAAGCACCGCGTCCGCTCGTTGAAGTGGTTTCAGGCGTTTTCTTTGGTCTGCTTACGGATGCAGTGCGAATGCCTAAACAAATCGAGGGTGAGTGGCCTGCAGATTTAGTAGCAGAAGGTGACAAGAAAGCCAAAGGAGAGGAGAAGGACGATGATGAGAACAAAGGACAGAAGAAGGGTTTCAAGTTTCCAGAGGAGGTAACATCGTTAAGGTTCCCCCTAATCCATCTTTGAGAGCATCTTGGAGAAGTAATGGCCGCCCAGTTTGAGAGAAGGCATCCTAGTTTACCTGTGAGGAGATTCTGGTAGAAGAGACGTTACACTGTGACATCAGGAGACTCTGGCTCCTTTTCGAACTGTATTCCTCTTTGTACTTTATAGTCCCTTTTCAGACGTTTCAAGGGGGAAACGGATTCAGGATGGTCCTCAGGATGGATCTAAGGGTGAGGTCTAACATCGATGGTTGCGAAGTACGAAGCAAATGCAGGCGACCCAATCTTCGGTTTTTACTGGCATGAGGACTTTCCTGGTATAGATGACCACGATAAGGATATGGATGACGTTTTCTCTTCCCTCCGGATCAGACCATCGCGGCTTACCTTATTATGGCTATAAGAGAATTTTGAGGCGGGGAAAGGGGTAGCCGTGATGGTCTGCCTAGATGGGACGAACGCCGTTCATAAAGGACGCGAAAAACGAACCTCAGCTGCGGAAGCTGCTTCGTGAGGAAATGCGCCGTCGAGCAGATATTCAGGTTAAAGCAATGGAAGCCAAAACCCTAAGGCAGGCGATGGCGCGAGCTGAGCCCTCAAAGAAAGGAGACGCGTTTTCCCTTAAGGCAGGAGCTCACGACTATTATTACTACGTATTTTGCGCACTTTTCTTTCCGCTTCAAAGTTTCCGGCTTGAGCACCTTTGTTCTGGGCAGGCTGTTTCAGAACTCTTATTCTGGATAGGCTGTCCCAGCACCCCGGTTCTCGGTAGGGTCAAAAAACCCCTGGTCTCGGATATTATTACATACGCACTTTTTGCACTGTTCTTTCCGCTTCAGAGCTTATGCATATAATTTAGACCAGAGCATGCATATAATTTAGACTAGAGTCCTTCTCCTACTGCTTCTGAATTTAGACTAGTGTCCTTGTCCTTCGCTCTAAGTCGTTCGCAGCAGGTGATATATCTATGGAAAAGTTTGTTCAAGACGCGGAAAAAATGGAAAAAGCAGCCAGCTGGAAAGCCTATCACGAATACTCTTTCACTTATGGAATGAACTATGTCTACAAGCGGTCCTAGTAGACGTGCACTGAACCTAGCCTAAGAGCCTCTTAGTCTTGACGACGGAAGTTGGTCCTTTGAGTTCTTATTTCTTTGATATGGGACATGATATTGATAAACAGGGAGCTGGACGCTTCTTGGTGTCAATTCTAATTTTTTATGGGGAACGTCTCTTCGTCCTGATTCTGATTTCTTTTTGGTAATAAGTAAACATAAAGGGCCTCTTGGTCTCAATTCTTATTTCTTTATGAGGGTTTAGGTTTTTCCATCACGTGCAGACCGTCTTTTCAAAAGATACCGATTTTGTAAGGGGTCGCTCTGCTTTTGTTGCTGAGTACAACTGACGAGGGCGGAATCTTCCCGATACATAGTCTTTCGTTAGTGATTAGGCGATAGAGAGAAACTACTCGCTAATATGTCCTATTTCTTGAAGATCCTAAAAGATTACGAGAGCAAGAACTCAGGCCGAAGTTATCACTTTTTAACTGACAAACTCACCTTCTCAAAACTTTCATTCTTTTAAGTAGTTTGACTCAGAGTGAGTTAGACGCCGTGAATGAAGCAATAACGAGAAACAATTTACATTTTGCAACCAATATTCAAATATGTAGTTAATAGTTGTACGACCACACTCTAACCTAACCTACCCTAATGTAGTGAGTACGACCTAACCTAACCTAACATAACCTCTAATCTCCCGAAGCAGTCACAAGCCATGCAGACGTAGAGAAGTGGCTTGATATACATAGTGGACGCTTCGGAGGTCCTGACCGTGGAGCACCTTGCAATAGTGTCCTGCCTCTCTTTCGTGTCAGCAAAATTTAAGGCTCTCAAAACTAAACTTTGTTTACACTAAACTTTCCACTTTTTTTTTGCTTTTTTGCTTTTTTCTAGTTAGGCTGGCTCCACCACTATTATACACTGAACTTCATACTAAGCCGAAGGCGGAACTTCTAATTCCAAGCCTAATGCTAAATTTTTAAAACAAAGTAAGCCTTCTAAGCATCGTAAAAGCATTCAAATCTCGTCTCACAAATTTCCTCTAACAAGGACATAGAGAAGGAAGTTACTAAATCGTTTGAAATGGCTTGTTGATGTCTTCACATGTGCTAGAATACGGAAAAAAGAAAGACCTGTATTGTCTCCCCGACAGTCATCTGAGGACGACAAGGGCTGCACGTATTTGAGTTTTGACTTACACTGGTTCCAAATGCTTGCTTGACTTATGCTGCTCCTTCTTTTCCCTTCTCTTCCACTCCTCCATTTGTACTCCGTCCCGAAGCACTGCTCCTTCTTTTCCCTTCTCTTCCACTCCTCCACTTGTACTCCGTCCCGAAGTTTTAGAGATGATGCACTGATGTTGAAAATGCTCGTGGTGGTTCCTCTTCTAATGTATAGAAAATATCAAGGGACACGGCGAGAGCGCTTTGGCTGCTTTCCCATTGTCGAAGGACGATGGCTATTTTGTGCGCGGAGGGCGAACGGCCTGGGGCAAACTCCAATCCCCCTACGAAGGCGAAACTCGAAACTTCTTGGTCGCTTGGTCTCCTGAGTCCTCTCTTAAGGCTATTATTGCAAATTAGTATCTTTACCCAGTACTATATCTTCTCCCCTCTCCTCTATCCTCTGTTTTCAGTTTCGTACTACCAGAAGCAGAGGACGACACTGAACTTCTCAAAATGCTGTGCCTGTCTCTTTAAACTGCTTTGCCTCAAATCACAACAGAGGTCAGCAAAAACGCGCAGAAGTCAAGTATGACCTCCTAGAGCAAGTTAGTATTTGTAACAAGACGAGTTTCAGCATCAAGTCTTGAAAAATTGGACAGCATGCTTCTGCATTCCGATCGTTAGCATGCTTCCGAAAGAAACGTTGGCAGCATGGACAGCACAGTGTACTTAGTTTTTTTAGCACATCAACTACAGCATGTTTCTGCACATCAATAGGTGCTTCTACTAGAAGCACATGATCAGCATGTTTCTGCTCCTCTAATTTTTGTGTTGTTTGTGTAAGTAAACGTGATGGCCGGGAGAAATCTTACGACCGGACTGCACTTCTTCGACAACCGCTGGCGGTGACAGGTGATCCTAACCCTCTGCACCAAATGGGATTTTTCATGCCTTCCTATATTTAAGGGCAGGCTAAAGGTGTTCCCGTTGCCGCTTGTTTTGCCTCTCTCTCCTAAAAGCTACTAGAGAGCACAAAAACAAACGGGAAGCAGAAACACCAAAGCCCTACCTCTAATATGTGGACTCGGAGACTGAAGTTTTTGGGGAAGCTCCGGAACCTTTTTTGGCGACAGCGGGACTGACCACAAGCTCGTCATTCATTTAAGGCTTGTATCCATCTATGTATCAGTTAGAACATCTTCAGACATAGTACATCTTCACAGATGGTACATCTTCACAGATGGTACATCTTCAGAGAGTACTACTAATGCCTATAGATGGCGCATCTTCAGATAGTCCATCTTGAAAGAGCAGCTGGCCTCCCATAGGCAGAGAGGAAGAGAAAGAATGGCACCATTCCATTTATACTAGGGAGAGAAACCATCATGGATCCTACATAACAGTACAACTTATAGCACGGATGTCATAAAGAATCATTGGAATCCTGCATATTGGAATGTCCCAGTATCATTAAATGGATACTACTACATTCAAGGGTGTACATTTAAGGGTGCGTTCACGTTCTAACGTATGGGCGACAACGCTGGTGCATACCAATCTCATCAGTATGCGTGGCGCCAAGAGTGCCTTAGGGAACGTGCAAGAGAGCTGGATGCACTACGTATCGCGCAGTGTCTTTTCGTTGCTAGCGAAAAACGCCTGACGCAAGAGGGATACTTTTTGGATGCCTGCAGCATGTTCGTGCGTCAGTCTTGCGGTCGGGACAGCGTTGATCGTGGGCTTACGCACGAAAAGGCAGAGGACGAGAAAAACGAAGAGAGAGAACGTGAATTCTTGGATTACTCAAGGACGCGAACGTATATTGCGCCGCTCTTGCGCAGACTGCGCACATCCCCCACCGAACTGAGCGGACGGGAACAAGAGGCGAAACCGCCATGTCTGCGGCTCGACGAGGGGACGCCACCCGGTCCGTTGGACGTAGATGAATTAAGGCCACCGGTTGGAAAAGCCCAGAACACTTCCACGCGGTCCATGCGTAAATTTAGTTTGCAATACTACTGGCCTAACAAGCCATTGAACTACCACATAATAATCGTTCGTGCCTTTTTTACCTGATTACATTACTATCTGATAAAATCACAACTTCAATTATTCCTCATGCATCCTAGATTAGTCCATTCATCCAGGAACGTGATAGACCGGAGCCAGTCCTCTTAGTTGTAAACTGAACTACACAACTTGTCTATTGGCACGACGATTAGAAATGATTCCCTAACCGTTTCACAAATGGTTCTAGCTTCATACGAGTAAGGTAAATAACGGGCTTCGAGTTGCAGCGAGTTGCTCGAGGTGCTGACGCGAAGGGCCCCAACTCTGGGACGAGTTGCCACGAGTTGCCAGAAGAGGCCTGGCCCATCGAAATGGGGCGAAGCAGGGCGGCGCGGGCGCCGAGGCGCCTGCTCAGGATGCGGGGCGCCGTCTATCTTCGCGACCTCCTTCACAGAAGGAGGCGGGGGAAGCGTTGCCCCCTTCCGCTTGGGATCGATAGCGGCGCGCCGCTCCCCACTCGGTGGCGGGGGGGAAGCTCCTCGCCCCTCGTCGTGGTTTGGTTGGGGAGTGTCAAATGGGGCTTGGGTTTTCGTCCTGCTGCGTTGCGGTGTGAGGGGTTTTTGTCGGGGTGGGCTCGTAGCCGGCTTGCGGCCGAAGGATGCCGCTGCGACATGGGGGAAAATGCGGCGCGGGTTGATGTGTGGGCAGGTAGCGGTGGGCGCGGTTTCACGCTGGTGGGCAGCTGGATCGGCCGGCGTGGTACATGCCACCCCCCCCATCACTCGTTAGACTCTTTGCGGACATTCGACTATCCCCCATTGGCTGTCTTCCAGTTGCGGATGCCCCTCCTGCCGGCCTGCAGTGCTCTCGTTTTCTACTTCAACGTCCCGCCTAGGCTGCGCCTTGAGTAACCCGAGAAACTCGAGCAGCCCGAGAAACTCGATATATGTCCAAGATTCTAATGCTAGTGTGGGCGTTTTTCGCTTTCACAAATTATGTTGGGCCATCGAGCGTGGCAGACCACTTTGTCAATAGCGGAGAAGATCCAGGTGCTGGTGTTTGGGGTTGGCAGCTCAAAAAATTCGGACCCGAAGCGTTCGATTTCGCACTTTCTGTGCTCCGACTTGCGTATGAGAAAGAAGCTACCTTGCGATTGGAGTTTGAGGCAGCGTCGAAAATGGTGGTAGAGGCCTCCAAGACAGCGGTCAAATCTTGTCGACGTGTAGCTGTGCCTGCCCCTCCGGAGACGGGTCCGCAAGCTGCAGCTAAAGCTACTTTGAAAAGCCAGGCGAAAGGGGTCTTCAATGCAGTGAGGCAATTTTTTTCACTGAAGAAAGCTGTGGTGCGTGCTCCGAAGAAGGGTCCGAAGCATGCAACTCTTTTTATGATCACGGAAAGTCTTAGACCCTTCTTCAGACCACCCTCTAAACGTTGATGCCCCAACTCCCGTTCCTGGATGCCTCTAACCTGTACTAACCACTTACTACTCAGTCCCCGTGCCACTGCTAACCCCGGTAAGCACTTCGAATCTTCTAATCGTGTCTTTGATTACAGTGAGGAGTGCTCTTTGGGTGACACGAGATCTACTGAGAAAGTCGAGTTCGCCCAAATGAAGCTGTTGGCGTATCTTCGACGCACAGGTGGAAAGCAGTCTGATGGTAAAGAAGCACCTGAAAAGGAAATTCTGGTTATGGCCAATACACGGATTATCCGGGATACCAGCACTAATGATACATCATCACATCATGATTAGTATTGATGTTTGTTTTTTTCTTTTCTTTAAGATAGACAGCGAGATTTGATGAGGTGTAACTGACTTGGGGGCCCCAGAGTGGGTATATTCATTTACTCACTCATTGGGTTGGCCAATGATACATCGCGTCATGATAATTCATGTGTGTTTTCGTCAAGAAAGACAGCGAGGTAAGACTCAGGTTATCGTGGTTGTCTTGAGTCGATTACATGTTTAGATAAGGCTATTCGAGAGGACAGAAAAATTGTTGGATGCTTAGTATATCTGCTGTATCTTGTCGTCACCTTGTGTGAGATCAGAATTGAAGCATCTTGTCCTATCCTATCCTATCATTATCTTTTTATCCTCTCTAAGAGCTCTTTCTTGCATGGACCATCTTCAGAAGAAGATCCTGCACAAGAGGGCGAGCTTGAAGATAGCCCTGCTTTGTATCTAGGTTTCGACGCTTGGCAGAAGGTTGAGGCTGCTATAGCGGATCAGGAGTTCGATTTGGCAAAAGCATGGGATTATACACCATCGATCAAAGAGAACGAAGCCAAAAAATCCGTCGAGAAGGGATCCGGCCCGGCTGGTGAAGACGTCGAAGGGGTCAAGACATCTCCTGCACAACGAACTGCAAAAAAAAGTAGTGGCGAAACTTATAGTGACAAAGCAGCCTCTCCGATGGAAGAACTGGACTTTCGACGAACAGATCTACCATTGCGACCATATTTTCCTGTAGAGCAAAACGACGAAGGAAATAATCAAGTACGCTTTCCGCATTCGCTGCCAAACATTAAGGAGAGAATAATACTCACCTTGTGTTTCTTTCCAAACATCAGGGGGAGTAGATGAGTACTTGACTGATTTTTCTTTTTTCGTTTTTTGTAGTCAGGTCTGTGCGACCAATATTACGAGGAGAATAATTTGAATTTATCAGAACCATATTCCATTTAGGTAAGAATAGTCTACTCATGTTTTTCGCACGACATGTATATTTTTAGGAGGACCCAATGATTGTTCATTCTTATTGAATGTTCTTTCTACTTGTTCGTACAGCCATGATGTTGTTAGCCTATGAGTACTTATGTTCTTGGTACTTGTTAAAGGTGCCATCTGTTTGGTAAATTTCCAAAATTCTAAAACCAGCAGAGCAGCAGAAGCAACTCAAACTATGAGATCGACGGATAGCTTGGAGTTAAGACCAGCTTTTATCTATCTTTCTCGGCATGCCCTTTTGCTTCCCTTATATTCTTTTCATGGGAAGAGAAGAGTTCAAGACGAGGGGGCCGAGATGGTAAAAGCTGACGCTAATGGAGGACCCCACGGTCTTGGTCGGTCCTACGATGTTCCGAAAGATGGGCGGCTATGAGATATTTGCCAGCTATCGGGAATTCTTGGACGAGATGCGACTGGTAGTTGCCTATACGTGGAATCGTCCGGAGTTCAAACCCTATCTCCACACTCGTTATTGGGCTACTCGTGACCAGATATACTACTGGGATGCTGCGAAGATACCAGTGGCACCAGTGGGGATAGGAGGGGCAGCAGGAGAAGGTGGAAAGGCAAATGCATTATCTCCTCTACTAGAAGAGGGCGGCGTTGGTGAGCAGCTCGATAACCCGAACGGGAAGGAGGGCATCGACGCCACGAGTCGATTTGTATCCCTTACATATTCAAATGGTAATGAACTTTTAAGACCGTACTCATGCTAGACTCTGTAACTCTATATACACTTCTGTAGAGGAGTCAGCACCGTACATGAAGTGTTACCACGATACAGCAAATATATATTGTGCTTCTAAAATAGTCACCTGTTCAAAGACGGTTAGTGCCGAAGTACACAAGTACGAATGATGGGGACTCTGTCTTCGAGCCGCCACCGCTGTATGCGCATGAGGTGATGCTGATGAACCGCGATAATGATGACCTGTTTTTATGGCTGCATAGTCTTTGCCGGTGCCTTGTGAGGAATGCGCTATTTAGAATAGTATCCCGTATAAGCTATAACGAAAACCGATGCTCGTGGTCTTGGCCTTTTTCAGCACGGTATAAAGGGTTTTTTTTTTGGAAAAGCTTGGCCTAAAGATGGTTCTAGATGGAAGCAGTCCCCTTGCTTTTTCAAGGAGAAAAGACAAAGGAAGGAGACGAGGGGGCACGACGATGGGCTCGGCGTTACGTGGCGCGAATATGTCTCGCGCGTCTCTGTCCTTTGTGTTGAGACCATTGAAGGCCCCCGCGTAGTTGCTTCCGAAACTTATGCCCGCAGGCAAGACACCCGCAAGAGCTTACCTCGCGCGCCAGACTTCACAGATCAAGCACCCAGCCCCGGCGCCCTTTGTGTTGAGACCACTGAAGGCCCCCGCGTAGTCGCTTCCGAAACTTATGCCCGCAGGCAAGACACCCGCAAGAGCTCACCCCAAGCGCCGAACTTCACAGACCAAGCACGCAGCCCGGGCGTCCTTTGTATTGAGACCATTGAAGGCCCCCGCGTAGTTGCTTCCTCAAGTTATGCCCGCAGGCAAGACACCCGCAAGAGCTTACTTACTTCACGCGCCGAACTTCACAGATCAAGCACGCAGCCCCGGCGCCTTAGCCTGAAGCAACACACACACACAGCGGCGAACGCGCTCGCAAGTGACTCGCTGGCCGCTCGGTCAGTGGCCTTAACGCGCGGGGGCTTGCCTCTGGGCTAGCCTTTGCGAAAGTCATACCCAGCACGCGGCCGCAGGCCCTGCCCCTCTGTCTTCATTTTTGTTGCCTTTCTGTTTCCTGGTCGTTCGCTCTTGCCTTTCATGTTCTCACACACCGCCTTGGCGCCCGGTGCTTCCCTCACCGAAGTCAGCGGCTTACGATACAGCCACGCGCCTGCCTTTGCCCATGGCGTTCAACCTGCTAGCGAGTCGCGAAGCAATCAGCGCGCGCGTTTGGTCTGCTGCATTTCTCTACGCTAGCACCGAAGGAGGGGACACGGGGGCCAAGGCTGCCAGCCTCGCCCTCGTCCGCTACCTCTCAAGCTATCGGTGCACGCCGGTGGGTAGAAGGATACACACCGAGGCCAGCGCCCCTAACTTCGCCTCGGTGAGGATTGGCTCCGCCCCGGGGGGTTTGTTAGAAGTTGGGGGGAGCATGTGGCCACCCCGCTGCCCTTGGTGACGCCGCGGGCAGCCTGATACTGGGCGCGTGACTTAGACGGCGGCGCCCGCAGCCACTTGGCTGGCCCAGGGTCGTGGCAATCTGAGGGCCCGCTGACCTACACCACACGGCGCGAAGCACACCGCGCGCGGGCGCGCCGGGTTGGCGTTGGGCAAACACGCTAACAATGTGAGTCACATAACGCAGCACGCGAGCGCGCGCCTCGTGTCTACCAAGTGACGCGACGAGCCAGCCCTTCGCCCCTTCTGCACAAGTCTGAAGTATAGCGCTCGCCAGCCTCCAGCCAGCTGGCAGGGCTTCGCGGTGTTTTCGCCACATCGGTTCTTCTGTGTGTCTGTGTGTGTGTGTGTGTGTCTGTGTCTGTGTCTGTCTCTCTGTCTGTCTCTGTGTCTCTGTTTGTTTGTCTCTGTTTGTTTGTCTCTGTTTGTTTGTCTCTGTTTGTTTGTCTCTGTTTGTTTGTCTCTGTTTGTTTGTCTCTGTTTGTTTGTCTCTGTTTGTTTGTCTCTGTTTGTTTGTCTCTGTTTGTTTGTCTCTGTTTGTTTGTCTCTGTTTGTTTGTCTCTGTTTGTTTGTCTCTGTTTGTTTGTCTCTGTTTGTTTGTCTCTGTTTGTTTGTCTCTGTTTGTTTGTCTCTGTTTGTTTGTCTCTGTTTGTTTGTCTCTGTTTGTTTGTCTCTGTTTGTTTGTCTCTGTTTGTTTGTCTCTGTTTGTTTGTCTCTGTTTGTTTGTCTCTGTTTGTTTGTCTCTGTTTGTTTGTCTCTGTTTGTTTGTCTCTGTTTGTTTGTCTCTGTTTGTTTGTCTCTGTTTGTTTGTCTCTGTTTGTTTGTCTCTGTTTGTTTGTCTCTGTTTGTTTGTCTCTGTTTGTTTGTCTCTGTTTGTTTGTCTCTGTTTGTTTGTCTCTGTTTGTTTGTCTCTGTTTGTTTGTCTCTGTTTGTTTGTCTCTGTTTGTTTGTCTCTGTTTGTTTGTCTCTGTTTGTTTGTCTCTGTTTGTTTGTCTCTGTTTGTTTGTCTCTGTTTGTTTGTCTCTGTTTGTTTGTCTCNTCTGTCTCTGTCTGTCTCTGTCTGTCTCTGTCTGTCTCTGTCTGTCTCTGTCTGTCTCTGTCTGTCTCTGTCTGTCTCTGTCTGTCTCTGTCTGTGTGTGTGTGCAATTGTGTTGCGCGTTGTTGTGTGTGTGTTTCTTTGTGTGTGTGTGTGTTTCTTTGTGTGTGTGTTTCTTTGTTTGTTTGTTTGTTCGTGGGGGGCAGTGCCTTTGGCGTAGACAATGTCTCTCAGACCTATCTCGACGGGCGCCAGGAGTGGCATCACCAGTGATATACACGCGCGACATGTCTCTCTAAAGATCGCCGCTGAGATTCTAGCCTCCATGGCTCAGAACTATCTGGTCCCATGGCAATTTGCGCGGTTTCCACTCGTCGCCGGTCTAGAGGAACCGCCCTACGCCTACAGAGCTGACAGGGCCCAGAGTGGCAAGGACAACAGCGGAGAAATACAAGGTGCAGGTAGTCAAATAGCTTTAGTATGCATATTACTTCTTACTACTATACAGCTTCAATTACTAATCTCACAGTTCGTTTTAGAATGCACTGACAAAAAGCTCATAAGTATGATCCTAGGTATCCTCTCCGATCCTGCCCGGTACTATGCTCAGGTGCTCAATAACCTTATTTCCGATCTAAAAAAGGTGGCCAATTTTGATACTAGAAAAAAAAAGTCGGTCGTGGTCCATTTTCGTACCAGAATCAAGTTAGGTGCGACAGGCGTCAGTAGTTGAACGACCAGGAGGGTCGCCAATACTAGCATTTTAGAGAAGGTCAAAGTGCCCACCATTGTTACACCAGATTTCGAATATTTCTGGGAGTGGTGCAAGAAGGCGCCCGAGAGCGGCACGCATGACTCAATGGACGACTTTGTTGCCAAAACGGTTATGAAGATTTTTCGTTTATTCTTGAGAACTCAAAAGTTCTTCATTCTTGAGAACTCAAAAGTTCTTCAGTTTACTATCATCGTTCCGTTTGGTTTTTCATGTTATGCAAGAACATCACCCACTCATACTTCTTCTAATAGCCGAGCGTGCGTCATCATTCATTCATTTAGATCGTCTAACATGCAAACAATTAGAGCCTCCCCCTCATGCCAGGCGCGTCAGTCAATTAGTCGATCAATCTAGGCAACTTCATTCTCATTCACATTTCTAATGCCCCTTGCGAGACCAGCCTGGTGAGGCGAAGCGCTGTCAAGTTCCCAGGATCATGGCTGGATGGATCCTTGGTAAAGCATATGCTGTCCCCCAGAGGCGACTCTTTACCAGGACTGCCTCATCAGAAGGAGTCTGAGCAGGAGGAACGGCCGGACCAAGCGAGGGACCCTGTTGGAAAAGAACTCGAGATCGACTCTATACTGTACTATCTCCGAGACAAGCATGGCAGACGATACAGCGCACTGATGGCGACTCATATTCGTGCTGTGTTAGATTTATGCTGAGAAAACCAAAACTTTTTTAACTCATCTATGCTGAGAAGTATTTTCAATTTTTTAATCCACTGAAAGGAACAGTGTAAGTATCACCCCACAAGGCAATCATTGAGGGGACAACTACCTAGCTCAAGGTACTGGTAGAATGATTCAAGCCACAAAAACAAGCGTTCACTCAACTCAATAAAGGACCAACGTACTATCACTCAAGCCAATAAAGGACCAACCTCTCACTGTGTTGGAAGAGCTCCTCTATTACGCAACTTCAAAGGACGAATCTATTACAGAAATCAATAAAGTGTCAGGCTATTCCTCAATTTCAAAGGACCGATCATCTATCAAGTAAAAGCTAAAGCGTTAACATTGTCTAATAAGTGCCTACTTTTTGGTGCATCGCTCAACCGACTTCGGTCCGCATCTCCTCTTCGAGGACAGTGGGTATCTCATGTTAAGGATGGAAATGGAGGTACTCTAGTAGATAAATTTCATAGGTAGTTCTTGCTACCTGATATGATGTTGACATATTTAAGCGGTAGTAGACGCCTCCAAGGGACGTAAGGCTACCGGTCAACATCAATGGACATGGGTGGTGACGGTTGTTTACAGTACCGGTTTTTACTAGCATTATAGGTGGGCAGGGCTAGTAGGCGTAAGGGTTTGAGCTTGTTTTTCCTAGTCATCATAGGTGGACCCCAACCGAACCTAAGGGGTTCGTTCTAATCTGAGAAAAATCGATGTCCTTTAACGCAAAACAAGTTGCTATTGAGGAGCGGGAAGAGCAAAAACGCTCCGACGAGAGAAGAAAGCACTGGGAAGAATATACTTTATGATGAAACAGGAAACTTTATGGACTAAGTATATATAAGTAGCTCACTAGCTGACTAGCTGCCTGACTAACTAATTGACTAACCAGCCATCTAACTAACTAACCAACTAACTATGAGAATTCAAATGCTCACTGGATCTAATCCTTTGCAAGGGTAAGGGTATGCGGGTGATCCTTTGCAAGGGTAAGGGTATGCAAATGCGATTTTGATTGACGTGAGTAGTGTGATTGTGATAGTGATTTTCTCGCGATTGTGATGCGCGGCTACGCATAGAGCGCGTTAGCATCTGCGCCACCCCCAGCTAGGTCACAACTGAGGGACTTTTTGGCATGTTCAGTCCCCTAGTGCAGGGCTTTCGTTTCCCTGTTGGAGGCGTGTGGAAGTAGCTCCGGGCCCTTATTCTGCTCAAGTGGGAACGCGCTAAGAGTGTCACGGACTCCACTGCTTTGGCCGCGCCTTCCTTGGTGCTTGGCCTTCAGCCTCTACCAATAGACTAGGCCGCGGCGCATTTGTGTGAAGGCTTGCCGTATGCCTCTTCCCTGCTTCAGGGCAAGGGCGTAGCTTTTGGCGCTAGCTCGAAGACCTTTCATGCCAAAAGAACTAGGTTCTTCAGGTTGATTACGTGACGGCCTGCTACCGCTGCCGCTGAGGCGCTTCAGCTTGATTACGTGACGGCCTGCTATCGCTGCCGCTGCTGCGCTGTGTGTCCTGGGGTGGGTCATGAGTTGACCGGGATTCACTTGAGGCACAGGCTGGCTAGGTTGGGGGGCTGATGGGAATCCAAATACTCACTGGGCCCAATCTGGTGTGAGGTAAGGGACACGTGCCGGGGACGTGATTGCGATTTCGATTGGTGTGAGTGCGTAGCGTGATTGTGATAGTGTTTCTTTCTCCCACTCACCCGCGACCAATTTAATAAAGATGGACGGCGACGAGATCGGGACTCTGGTCGCCAACTATTCTATAAAATTGATCCAGTTCCAAGATCCCCGAAATTTATGAGAATCATGAAACTGCTCCAACTTGTTGAAAACGTTGCACACGATCAGGGTCACAAGGATGAGCAACATGATCAGCATGATGAAAGACATGAAAGCGATGCACACGACTAAGATCATGCAAATGACCAGCATAGGCATACAGATGAACAACGAACACGCGCGAAATGGCATTCGTTCGCTTCCTTCTTTGCAGGTCGGGCTTTTACAAACAAAGGAACAAGAGTCACACTAAGTGAGTCTATTTCAAGCCGTACAGATTCCGTGTTCATAAACGACGGAGCAAAAATAACGAACCCCAACGACCCACCAAGACCAACCGGAGCCCGGCGACCTCTTCAACAGGAGAGAAAGAGGCCAACGCCCCCACCCCTCCACCAGCTCCGCGCACCGTGTCAGGAGACATATCGATCAGCTGGGACGATGATCCGAAGAAGAATCTGAAGACACAGGTCGGCCTGTGCCTGTCCAGCGCGGACTCTGAGACAGCACCCACTCGAAGCGGCTGCGAGCGAAGAGCTCAAAGACAAGACGGCGACAGCCTTCAGTGGGTTGAAATGCCAACCAGTTAACTTCCAAGCTGTCGCCGATCTTCGTCGCACCCAAATACTTCCAACTGGTTTGCAATAAACTTGGCTGAAGTCCAGGCGATCCACCCGACAGGGAGGAGGCCAACTCCATTGCTGCCGCCTTTTTGAATGGTGGCAGGCTCTCTAACAGCGCCCACACCTACCGGGTGAACCTGAAGCGGCTAGGGGTGGCTCAGCTTGGTGCGCTGAACTGCTAGCGGGGTACTGTAAATGCTTCAAGATCTTACAACAGCGCGCAAACCCTTGCCGAGGAGAGCCAACACGGGCCAGCTTTTGGAAAACGGCCGGGGAGGTTTCTGGCTTCATCAAAATAGCGGGCAAGGCTCACCACGTCAGGGACTGCCTCGGCCCCGCTGCCTGCTCTTGGTTCTTGCTATCGCGACCGGATGAGCCTGAGGACCTACCGCGAGAAACCAACGCCGAAAAGTCTAAGAAGAAGGGCGGGGGGGGGTTGGTCAATGAAATCAGAGACGCGCCCGACGGAGCTGCCTAGATTTTTCCTAGCGGCAACAGGACCGGACTCGGGGGCTGTCGTGGCTTAGTCAGCTTCTGGAAAAGAAAAGGGCGGCAAGGCTGCTGGCCCCATGAACATAGCGGGCAAGGCTTACCACGTCAGAGACTGCCTTCGCCTCGCTGTCTGCTCTTGGTTCTTGCTATCTCGGCCAGATGAGCTCAGGGGCCTCTCCCCTCGCGAGGGATCAACACTGAGAAGCTTAGGAAAGCAAGGGGGAAGCTGATCAAGAAAATTGGCAACGCACCAGACGGAAGGAACTGACTTGCTTGATCTTGGCGGCACGCAGCAGGACTTGACTTGGGAGCCGTGGCCTTGGGGTTTGCCTCTGCTGTAGTTGTGAGGTCTTTAAGGGGGGCCAGATCGTGCGCAATTGTGCGCGGCTCATTCTTGTGCAGGTGGGATCGAGCCGTTCCTCGCTTCGCGGGCGTCCCGGCTCTGACTCGCCGCAAGACATTTAGCCAGGCGCTGGAGTTTAGGGGAATTGAGAGCCCGAAGGCCAACAAAGCCTGCCGGCGTTGGGGCTTGCAGGGCGTCCGGATAGGGGGGGGGCGCGGTTTGCGCGCTGTGGTAAGTTGTCAAGATCCACGGCTTTGGCTGGAAGAGTGAGACGGCCACAAATCGACACGGGAACACTTGCGACACCAACGCGAAGGAGACGGAGGCAACCCCCGCGGCCCCCTAAAGAGGCGGAGGCAATCACGCGCGCGCTGTCTTGTGTTCAAATGCAACGGGCTGCCCAGCTCGGGAGTGCAAAGATATGAGCACGCAACGAACTTCCAGGCAGTTAGAAAAACCTTAGAGCAGTTAAAAGCCTGGCGGCCGCAAAGAAAGGAGGGGCCGGAAAGGATGCCCTTATGGGGCCGCCACTGGGCAAGGAAGGGGCCGCCAGGGAGGCCAAGGCGTGCCGGTGTGGGTGCGAGTTGTTTCCCTGTGTGTGTTCAGGCGGACGCGCACCCGGGGAGAGTCTTGGGTAAGATTTGGCTAAAGAAGCAAGGCGGCCCTCTAGGGCCGCAGGGCGGCGCTTGCCCTGAGCCGTTGCGCCCCTGCTTCGCTTCGGGTAGCGTTTTTGCCTTTTTCGTGTCGTGTCGCTGAAGATGCGTCTGCGAGTGATTCGGCGGCGGTCTTTGTGTGGCTTTGTCCTTGAACTCTGCGGAGGGTTCGTGGGCGTTGAATGCTACAGCAGCGGACCAACAAAGACGACTGAAAAAGGCGCCTGGCTTTTTCGGTCGTTAGTTTTTTTCGGTCGGTTCTGCTTTTGGGTGCTTGTTTGGCGGAGTGGCTCGGCCCGTTCGGGGGTGCAGGTCTTAGGGGTCTCGATTTAGGGAGGTGCACTGCTGAAGGGGGTCAAGGTGGCGGGGGGCTGTCGGTGTTGGGGTTTGGTGCTTCTGGTCTTCTGTGAGTGTGAGCCGCGTCTCCTTGTGAGTGTGAGCCGCGCCACGTGAATGCGCGTTGCATCCGATCCTGCGAGTGCGCGCCGCGTCTTGCGAGTGCGGGCCGCGTGCGTCTTGCGAGCGTCTTGCGAGTGCGGGCCGCGTTTTGTGAGTGTGGGCCGCGCCGTGTGAGTGTGGGCCATGTCGTGACAGTGTGGCCCGCGCCTTGCGAGTGCGGGCCGCGTCTTGTGGGTGCGAGTGTGAGCCGTGCCCTGCGAGTGTGAGCCGCGTCATCTTGTGAGCCGCGTGGGCCGCGTCGTGTGGGTGTGAGTGCGTCGCGCCTTGTTAGTGTGGGCCGCGTCTTGCGGGCGCGCGCTGTGTCTTGCGAGTGCGGGCCGCGTCTTGGGAGTGCGAGCCGTGTCGCGTGAGAGTGGGCCGCATCTTGCGAGTGCGAGCCGCTCCTTGTGAGTGCGAGCCGCGTCTTGTGATCGCGGGCCGTGTCGTGCGAGGGAGTGCGCGCCGCGTCTTGTGAGTGCGAGCCGCGTCTTGCGAGTGCGAGCCGTGTCGACTCGTGCGAGTGCGAGCCGCGTCTTGTGAGTGCGAGCCGCGTCCTGTGGGTGCGAGCCGCGTCCGTCTTGCGAGTGCAGGCATCGCTTAGGCTTAGGTAGTGAGTGTGAGGCGCGTCCTGCGAGAGCGCGCCCGCCGTGTCTTGCGAGTGCGAGGGGTGTCGTGTGAGTGAGTGCGGGTCGCGTCGTGCGAGTGCGTAGCCTCGAGCGCTATGGCAGTGGCACCCGCGCGCCCCAGACAACACCCAGGGCCCGGCCCGTCCCATATGTCCACCGCTGCGGCATCGCGCTCACTGTCACGGATAGCATTTGGGGGGCAAGCTCGAGGAGCGTCGTGGCAGCGTCGTCGCAAAGTTTGAGGTGAAGACCCAGGCGCAGCAGGGCACGGCCGGACGGCTCTGGACTCAGGTGCCCCCGGCGCGTCTTTCTTGGTTAACCAGGGACCGGGTGCCAAGAGAAGGGGACCAACGTGCAGCGCGTGCCGCGGGTCTGTCGTGATTGGCTGGGAGGTTCTTGCGCGTAATAAAGAGCGCAAGTTCGCACGGTCCGGCTCGCTGGAGCAAGAAAACAGCAGAAAAGTGGCGGCGTTCTGGGCTGTATAAGCCAACCCCGCAGGAAGTAGCTTGCTGGGTGCTTTAGGTCTGTTATTGTTATGCGCGGACAGTGCTGGACCCTTTTGGCAGAAAGTCCAGAAGCTTATCGCGATGTATGAAAGAAGACAAGACAGCCGCCGTTTTGCTGCCTTGTACTTCCCTCGCCAGCACATGTTGGCCTCGCTTGTTCAGTGCTCGTTCTAGTTCTTCGCCATCTGTCGAATAGCATTCGACACCTGACGCAAAGGGCCCCACCAGGGTCCAGAGTTCAAAGCCATCGTGGTGCACTCTTTCACTTGCAGAAGATACCAGACTGACACGCCCCAGCTCGTCAAGATAATCCACCACCAACAGACGCCAACAACCATCACCCAGCCCCAGGCAATGTGGTTCACAGCGGTGAAGAAATGGGCCAGGTGGTTGCGTGTAGTGAAAGCGTTGCGGGGCGTTCCTTCTGCCTTCGGGCGCCCGAATTTAATAAACACATAGTACGACAGAAGGGCCGCACAGCTGTGGCGGGGGTGTTATACTTGAAGAGGCTAGCCGCGTCGCAGCTTCTGTCCCTGCACTCGTGTGCCAGTGATAAAAGTACGAAGATGGCCCCGGAGGTGGCTCCCTGGATGAGGAGGGGGCACGAAGCTAACGGCAAGCAAGTCGCCGCTTTTGATGAGTGTGCGTGGCTGACGGCTGGTAAGCTAGCACGCTCGCCGCCCCCGCGCCTGAAACTGGTGCCGCGTATGGCCGGGGCTTCTCCTTTTGTCCAGGTATAGCGGGGTGGTGTCTTTCCGGCTACTGCCATGCGCCAGCGCTGCGCGGATGGACCGGGCGGGAACGCCGTGGCCCACCCGCCACCAAGACCATCTCAGCAAGGAGCCCCGAAGGAAGTGGAGAGATTGTCGGCCTTTCGTAGCCTTGTCTGGGTCTTTCGGCTCTGTCTATGACTGCGTCGGGGTTTCTGAATGTCGTAGGCCCGTCTTTGTGGTACTCCTAAAACTAGCGGCGCCCGCGTTTGTCGATGGCGTTCAGTTGCTCCAGCGCTTCGGTGCCTTGCTGTCTAGTGGAACCTTACCAGACTTGTACTCCCCTCCTGGCGGAAGATGGGGACAAAGCGAGCACAAACAGGAGCCCCATCGCGTCCAGAAGTGCGCGGGCGCGCTTGGAGTAGCGTACTCAAGGCCCTAACGAAGCGGGCCGCGCTTCTTCCTTTTGGGCGGCCGTCCTTCCTCGCTGCGAAGTTTAGTTTATATATTGCGGCGAGGTCTCGCAACTCGTGTAGAACCTTCGCGCACGTTCTGCCAAACGCGCAACACTGCTGCACAGACATAAGGGGTCTGGCGCGGTGCTGTGTGTGCGTCCCTCTCGAGAGTGGTTGCGGGGGTGGTGAAATCGTTTTCGTTAGATCTATGGCGCGAGATAGCCTGCTTCAACAAGTGCGCCAGAAAATGAGCGGCAGGGAAATCGCTGGGGGGCGCCCTCGCCTGCTGCTGCATCTTGCTGAAAAGCATCGGCATACCTGACATGAGGGCAGAAGGATGCAACGCGCAGAGGGTTCGCGCCTCTTCAGATGCTGCGGCCACGCGATGGGCTGCAGGCGGATGCGTTACGTTACCACGTGGCAAGATAAGCGCTTCTGCTATGGCAATTGCTGTCGGCGCTGGAGTGGGTGATCGCGGGCACCAGCTAAAGGCATTAACTGTCCCGCAGTGGGTAGCCGAATTGCCGCCGGATAGCATTTCTGAGGAGATGAAAGCGGCAGACTACCTCCAAGCCCATTTCCGCCACACCCCCACGCAGAAAGATGGAGTGCACCACATTGACAGGCCCGGCGATGTATCTATACAACTTGGCCAACGGTCCGGCCAAGAACAAACTCGCCCATATTGGTGTCGCCAAGATCTTGCAACAGACCCAGCGTGGGGGTCTGGCTTGCAGGGGAGTGCGCTATGCGTGGATGTCCACGCGTCGCGAGTCAGCTGATAGCCTTGCTTACTAGATTACGAAAGGCGCAGGCGCTTTAGGAAAAACGCCCACAAATTACTCGGGGGCAACTTGGTGGCCCCGCCGTCCTATGCTGGGACGAGTGGAAGAACATCAGGGACGAGTTGGCAAAGTTTCTAGTTGCATAAAAACACGCGGGGCCGTGGGGTCGCCTTTCCTACATTGTGGGACTGCTGTGCAGATAGTGCCCTACCTGGAGCTCCCTAGAGCTGCCCCCCCCTGCTGTGAAGTGTAGCACCTCCACGCGCTTCGGGTCTTTATTCTTCTCAAATAGTAATAAATGAGATAAGAGGTGTGCTAAGGGCTCGACGGCTACTGCTTTGGCCACTCCTCCCCTGGTGCTTGGCTTTCAGCCTCAGCCAATAGATATGACCGTGGCTTATTTGTGTCAAGGGTAGTCCTCGTAGCCCTCTTGCCTGCATTAGACCAAGAGGGGGCTTAGCCCTTGGGGCTGGCTCGGAAATGTTTCAACTCATGCCAAAGGGTTTAGGTGCTTCAGGCTGATCTGCGACGGCTTACTATCGCTGCTGCTGCTGCGCTGTGTGTTCTGGGAATCATGAGGAGACTTGGGCTTCCTTAAGTCACAGGCTGGCCAGGTTTGAGGGGTTAGAGTAACTAAGTAACACACTTAACGACTGGCTGAGTCACACACCACCGAACTAAGTGCGTGGGACTTTGTTTTAGTGGTAATAGTTTTTGAGCAATACTTAAGTTTTGGGTAAGAAATCGTCAGAGAAAGCTTAGGCAACTTGCCGAATAGATGCACATCGTCAAGGGTCTCCGGAGTTCTAAGCCTGAAGCGGGTGCTGGAGACGACCTCTCAAGCAGGAAGCGGGAAGCAGCACTCGTCTTTCTTGCAAAGCGGTTCAGGAGGCAGCAGTACAGTAAGGGCAATGCTTGAAGGAGGTAGAGACAAAGGGACGGCAAGCGCAATGCCCGAAAGTGGCAACTACACCTCAGCTTTTTCGGGTTCTCCGTCCGTGTCAAATTTATGACTCACATCAAAAAGGCATTGGCACTTTCGGAGTTCTCATTGTGACCTCTCATTTGGAGAAGACTCTTTTCTCAATGAGGTCCTGAGTAGGATTTTGGTCCGAAGTACAGGATCTTGAGAAAATCCTCGCAGCCTGTTTTTTCACAATCATCCTTTTGCTAGAACCATCGATGTGACCCGCCGAGAATAAATGATTGAGAGGTCATATAAGCAGTAAGAGGGTCCTCGTTTGAAGAAGTAAGTGAAATTAAGATCTGTGGAGATCTGTGGTAGGTGTAGCTTTACTTCTTAACGAACGACAGTCTCCTTTGTCCGTTGAGCTTTAATTCTAACAAATGTCGGAATGGCGCCTTCTCCTGCCTCGACCTCCGACAACAGCCTGCACATTCCTTCAATGTCCACAATGAGCGATTATGTAGGAGATCTCGTTGGAAGTCTGGCACTATCCTTAAGGCCAGTTTTTCTCTATCTTTCTCGGCATCTTGGTGCCCTTTTGTTCTCTTGTATTTGTTAAGGGGAAACAAAGGGGCCGAGATGAGGGCACCAAGGTGAAGAAAAGCGGAGTCTAACATCTTCTGCCTCTTCCTCTTCTTTTGCGGAGCATATGGGCGACGCGAGTCCCATTCTACGTGCCTGGTTAGAGACGCAGCACACAGGAGTGAAAAAGGCGGTGGGAGTAGTCAAAAATGCTTTGGAACAAGGAGAAAATGCGGAACAAACAGAAACAGGACGAAGAAAGCCTGTCACACAAGCGGAACAGCCTGTGTCTGAGCAGGACTCTGAAGAAGGAGTAGAGCTGCATCAGCAGAAGTCTCATCGGCACGAAGGTCGTAGGGACGAAGATCGTACCTCATCAGCCTACAATGTTGACCAGAGAGCAATGGCAGGAGCATCCTTTTTCGAAAGGCATGCAGGGGCGAAGGAGTCGCTAGAGTCCGCGGAGGCACTCGATCCTCACGTCTCGACGCCTAAGCTTAAGGGCTTCCAAATTACATCCCCCACTACCATCCTTGACCTATTGTCTAGTAGAAAAAAGGTCAAGGATGTTCTGAAGAGTGTAATGCCGCGCCCTCTAATAAGCCGGATCTTCCAGAAATGCGGGGAAGCTCGAAGTTGAGAGAGAATATAGAGGAGCAGCCTCTTCTTATCGAGTTAGAGCCTGGCATTCATTTCGGTGTGGTTTCAGACGCGGGGAGCTTTCCCGCGCTCTATCGGGACGCATACTTAAGACGGCTTGCTGACCGACTAGTTCATCACTACTTTTAGAAACAAGTGACTGCCCAGCGACGCTAAAAGTACTGAGTAAAGCAACCGGCTAGCTTTCTCTCTGATCATAGGTGTATCCCTTCATGCAGCACTACTTTTAGAAACAAGTGACTTAGCCATGACCAAGAACTCACCAGGACCAAGAAACAACTGACTTACAGAGTAACTGATTTGGTGCAGTAACTAGTACTTTGGAGTAAATAGAACTTTGCTTTACTTCTATCATTTCAATTCCAAGAAGTTTGTGCCATGTTTACAGCTGCACTCGAATTTCGAAAAAATTGAGTCTCAAAGATGACTTAATTCTTGCTCAAGATCAGTCAGAAGCAGGCGTTAATAAAAGTTTAAGCTGATACTTATCAATCGGCTTCCTTGCCCTTCCATGGAAGGCACAAGAAGGCTGATAGGGCCTCCTCGCTGGTATGTAGACCAGGTTCCTGAGGCATCCTGACATGACATGGCTACTTTTCGTTATACTTGATAGGCTATCACTCGACTTCCGTGCTCCTCTGGAAATTTAATGAAGGCGCAAGGTCGTCGAACGGCCTCACATCTGTGAGATAGGACGGGCGTAGAGGTATCATGACATGGCATAAATTCATTCTATGTGGAAGTCAATTCCTATTTTATCCTCAACATCTCGTTCGACCGCTTGTTAAAAATCATGCTAAGGGGAATCAGTCTTGTGAGCAGCTCTAACAAAAGAAAAATACTGGGCCGAACCCCCCAGCGCGAGGAGGAAAGAAGATCTAATCAAATTACAGATCAAAGTAGCAAGAGGGGAAATTATAGGCGAGAGCAGCGCCGCTGTTCCTGTTTCGGAGAGGCCCGGGTTTGCACCTGTACATATGAATAGTGCTTTAAGCAACGAAGAGGCGAAGGCATACGCAATGTTTAGCGAGGGTGATGTGAAGTTGGCAGTCCGAAAAGCAGTGTTTGACTCGCGAAAACTTATGATCCTCTTCTAGAGCCTTGTGATCCTCTCCTAGAGCCTTGTGATCTCCATGCCGATCCCTTACAGTATAACATCAACATCACATAGCGCGAGAACCGAGCACTTCTCTGAGGCAAGCACAGGCCTCGGCCGCCTCCGATGAGAAGACCTCCAGGGCTGTTGGACGACACGCGGCGCCTAGAATAGACGGATCCTCCTTAGCATGGCCATTACTAAAAATTCTGTACTTATTTATCTTTTACCTACTATCCTTCCTTTTTCTTTTCCTAGTTAGCTTGGCTCCACCCCTACAGTATAACATCAACATCACAATGTTGATACTGACTATCGGCTACCACGCCTACTCAAACACTAGCATCACGTTGAAACTAAGCATTTGTTCCATCCACGAATAGCGAAATGCTTTGACGTGGTAGCTCTAAAAAAGGTGTGGTTGCCCGCGCCCGGATTGCTTATGGTGGGTTCTTGTTATCCTTAATATCCATCTCTTTCCACGACCCATCTCTCTCTTTCATCTATCTCTTTCCAGCACCCATCTATCTCTTTCATCTATCTCTTTCATCTATCTCTTTCCATCTATCTCTCTCTTTCATCTATCTCAGTGCCCTACTTCCCCTGAGAGTTTGCTACAAACTAGACTGATAGTTCGTAGCACTTTTTACTCGGGTCGCTACTGAATCAGGCCTGCTCGTAGAGGTGGGAGACGAGAATATAGACTTTAGAACAAATCAAGTACAAGTTGTTGTATCAGGAGACGAGAATATAGACCTTAGAACAAATCAAGTTGTTGTATCCATTCCTTCCTTACCTTCTGGTTCGTCAACAATGAAGGAAGGAATGGATACAACAACTTGAACTTTTAACAAGGGGCGATGTAGCTGGGGCAATCTCTAAAGATTTGGGGTTCCGGTGTTCGGATTCTATTACAACGTGGGACATCTTTGGACTATGCAGGAAGAGGGAACTGCTACCCCGCTTGTACTTATGGCTACCGCTCCCGAAGCATGTCCTTAACACCATCATCCTTGGTTCCTCTTTTTCAAAACGAGGAAGGGTCCAGGGATGGGCTCAAGGATGCGACGCGGGAGCTCTAATATACAACTATTGCTCAGTAGCGACCAGCACATGGTTACCAAGACGCGCACACATGAAAAGAAAGAGGTAGAAGATAAAACGACCTCCAAAGGAGGGACGACCTCTTCCGTTTCCAAAAGTGGAACGAGTTGGGTTGATAATGACGTGCTCGTCCTCGGTTCTTCTGCCGCAAACGACCTCGAAGAGGCACACAGTTTTGGAGAAGATGGCTCGCTAAAGTTAAGAACACCACATCATTACTCAGAGTCGTATTTGTGCACGTACTAGAGCAGCACTATGTAGTAAGTACACAAATAAACAAACAAAAAGCATTCATCTAGACCTGGCCGTTCACATGGGAGACTAGATTGATATTAGTATTTATAGTATTAGCAATTGTCAGAAATCTCTTAAGGAGCTTCCTTAAGGAGCTTCTTTAAGGAAATGAGTCTCCTTAAAGAATTTTTATTATAAAAAGTTATTATAACTTTCCTTAAGAGGAAAAAAATTCCCTTAAGGGGCTCCCTTAAGGACAAGCTGTTATAAACTTAGGCTAATAACAGCGGCTCCTTGAGGCCCTTGCTAGTACTACGAGTCCAAAGGTGTCAAGAACGTGCTAACGTGTTCGCGGCTGTCAGTTTGTAGGCTACTCACGTACACCAGCCACATCTGCAGCAAGACACTACGCGCCCACCCCTAGCGAATCGCGCCAACGAACTGCCAACCGCTGCCCTTGTCATATATCTCCCGGCGCCTTTACTTTTTTCCAAAAACTTCAGGGAGGTCATTCAAATACAGAGAAAGCTGAACGACCTCCCTGAAGTTTTTGGAAAGAAGTTAGCTCGCTCCCCTTCCGCGACTACCTTCCGCGCACAGCAATCGACCACAGCACAGGAGCGCGCGGCAGCCCTTGGAGATGGTTAACCAGTATACTTCTAACCAGCACAAAAGCGGGAGAATTGTAAGGGAGGGGCGAGGGTGAGCACTTCAAAGGGTAGAGGCTGGCGAGCGTGATCATACTGATTCGCGAGAAGGCCAAAGACATACATCTCGGCGCTTCAAAGTCGCAGCCGTTGAGGATGTCGATGGCTGTGAGAATGATAGCCGTGAGCACTTGCGTGTCTGAAGGGTGGACCCTGGTGAGCATCATTCATCATATCCATGAGAAGGCCAAAGGTGTGCAGCTTTGCTTGTGAAAGTCGAAGCCGTTGAGGATGTTGATGTCTGTGAGAATGATAGCCGTGAGGACTTGCATGTCTGAAGGGTGGACCCTGGTGAGCGTCATCAGATCCATGAGAAGGCCAAGGATATACAACTCTGTGTATGAAAGTCGAAGCCGTTGAGGGTGTCGATGTCTGTGAGAATGATAGCCGCGAGGACTTGCATGTCTGAAGGGTGGACCTTGGTGAGCGTCATCGTATCAACGAGAGGGCCAAAGACATACATCTGTGTGTGTGAAAGTCGAAGCCGTTGAGGATGTCGATGTCTGTGAGAATGATAGCCGTGAGGGCTTGCATGTCTGAAGGGTGGGCCCTGGTGAGCGTCATCACATCCATGAGAAGGCCAAAGATATACATCTTTGCGCTCCGCTTGAGTGTCGAAGCCGTTGGGGATGTCGATGTCTGTGAGACTGATAGCCGTGAGCACTTGCAGTTCTGAAGGGTGGGCCTTGGTCTTGGTGAGCATCATCATACTCATGAGAAAGCCAAAGGCATACATCTCTGCGCTTGAAAGTCGAAGCCGCTGGGGGTGTCGATGTCTGTGAGAGTGATAGCCCTAAGCACTTGCGTGTCTGAAGGGTGGACCCTGGTGAGCGTCATCACATCCATGCGAGGGCCAGAGGTATACTGCTTTGCCTGTGAAAGTCGAAGCCGTTGAGGATGTCGATGTCTGTGAGAAAGTAGATAAGGGTGGACCCTGGCGGGCGTCGTCATGTCCATGAGAAGGCCAGGCGCATGCATCTCCGTCGGCGAAGGCTGAAGGCTGCGGACGTCGATGCCTGTGTGTGAGAATGATAACTGTGGGCCATTGCAGGTCTGAGGCGCGGACCGTGGTGGGCGTCTTGCGTCATGTCCATGAAGCAGCCAAGCTGATAGACACATCCCCGCGCCTGAAGGTTGGGGCCCAGCTTCTGGCTCTGCGCATAGATATGCCCAGGCGTGGCCTTCTCATGGGCCTCGTCCATGACGCTCGCCAGTGTGTGTCAGCCTTTTGCCATCCCATGGGTCTGCTATGCTTTAGGATTCTCCTGGACATGATCACACTCAAAAGGGCCCAGCCTCTGTGCCTACATATGTTCAGGCGTGGCCTTCTCATGGACTCCATGACGCTCAGCGGGCCAGCCTTGGCGCCCATTGGCTTGCCCTTAGCAAGCAAGTTGACCAAGGCAGTAGCCTGCCATAGCGGTAGCCTCCTCACTAGCCTCGCCACAGTGGGAGCCAGCTTCCCAGCCTTGGCGAGCAGACTTGGCGACTTTTTTCGTTTGTCTTTCTGCCTCTTAGTAGTCAACCTGTCTAGTTGTTAACCTATGCCCAGCGCAGCGGGCCCTTGATGGGCCCGCTTTCTGGGCATGTACTCAATAGCATGCCACATGATGACAGAAATTTTCTAATCTTACGCTTTCTGGTGGAACATGGCCCAGGAGGAGACAGCGGAGGTGATGGTGGCCGATCGACCAAGAGTTGGCAAGGATGCAGTACGGTGAGTATGCACAGCTTTGTGCGCCACATTGAGCAGAACAACTATGAGCTGGTGCCCTGGAACGAGCTGGCTAAGCAGATTATGGCGAGGGAATCAAAATTGTTTTCTCTGACGAATCACCAGGGGATTCAACTGAATGTGAGCAGTATTGTTATGTTGGTTCGTCACATTGAGGATCTTGGCGAGTCTGGTAAGAGGCAAATGAAGGCACCCACAAGAAGACTGTGCTGACTATGTATAAAAAGTACAGACAAGAAGGGGACAGTAGTAATAAGTGTGAGACGAGGAAAAATGAAAATATCGCTTGGATCAAGTAGTCCACGCAGCACGGCTGGAGTGGAAAGGTACTCGGTTGCTTTGGATATTCTCAATTGGCGCACTTTTCTCGACCACAGATTGATGTCGTCTAAGCCCTTCTAAGTACACTAAGTGGGAAACAAAGCCGGGTTGGCGCGCAGACCCAAGACAAACATTTAGTAAATGGGAAGAACTCGCTAGGAAACGCATAGCCGTTTTCGGAAACCCGGTCGGAGACGAACTTTATGCTAAACAGAATCAAAGAAAGATTGTAATTAGATAAAAAGTGTACGGGTAGTCATGAATTGAAACGGTTCAGACCACTTAAATGGAAATTTGCTTAATATGCTATTTTTAGTGTTACGAGGGTGCTACATTGCCCCCCCATGAATGGGCATACGGCTTTTTTAGTAGGAGAGCATTTAGTGTTAGAGGCCTATGGCAATAAAAGCCGCTACATACTGATTTTAGTCTCACTTACAGTAGTAGCTTTGCCTCCACTAGGTTCTGGTTGCTGCCTGGATAAAGAGTAGCAGCAGAAATGAAACAATGTCATCCACTGTTATCATCGAGAAACTCAGCGAGTTCTTGTCTACGATCTCATCTGTTTATGTTGTCGAGAGTTCTTGTGATTGATGTTCTCAGAAGTGGGGTTCTTGTCTAAGATTGACCAGATCGTTGGGACCTCGAGGAGAAAGACGAGAAAGAGCGGGAGATGAGAATGAACGCGGTGCTAATTATGATGTAAGCACTGCTATCAATTGTTCTTTTATGCACTCTCTCTGGCTGTCTGTGTCTGTCTGTCTCTCTGTCTCTCTCTCTCGCGTAGGGGTAAAAACTGGAACACGAAAACTGGGGCTCGCGGCTATTCCTTCTTTTTTGGAAACAGGTGCGTAGCAGCAGAGCTCTCCTAGTTTTCAGAAAAGGCCTCAAGCTCCCCAACTTATAAAGGAACTGTTAAAGTCACAGACTAGACTGAAGACTATGAAGACTAGACTAGAGGAGACTAGAACAGACTGTTGAAATAACAAGGGAAGCTCGAAGATACCGTGACTTCTCTTGTGTTCAAAAAAAATTCGACGGAGCATCACCATCAGTAACTGATATTTTATACTAGATTTCAAAAAACTACCAGCATTTTCTGTATGCAGATACTGCGGCAACATTCTGTATTCCGATACTGCATCAACATTCTGCATGCGGATACTCGGTTACTCCTATAGTATATTGACTCATGCTCTACTCAACTGGTGTCTTCATTCTTCTCAGCTGGTGTCTTCATTCTTCTCAAGTGGTGTCTTCATTCTTCTCAGCTGGTGTCTTCATTCTTCTCAACTGGTGTCTTCATTCTTCTCAGCTGGTGTCTTCATTCTTCTCAGCTGGTGTCTCCATTCTTCTCAACTGGTGTCTTCATTCTTCTCAGCTGGTGTCTTTGTTCTTCTCAGCTGGTGTCTTCATTCTGCTCAGCTGGTGTCTTCGTGCTAGAAAATCCACTGGGTCCACAGTTTTTAGTTTCTCTTGTCCCTCTGTTCAATAAGAATACGAATAACTCTTTATGATTATCAGTCATCTCCCGCAGATTAGAGTACTCAAGATTAGTCTACATGACGAAAAAATATCGTCCTTGATTTTTTTCCGCGGCTAGATGAATGATGAAAGACCCTGCGGAAAGTGAGTCAATTCCTATCGTCTTTGCGATAGAGCGACGAATATCCTCAGCCCCTCTTCATGCGAACGAATTACGCATTTATCTTGCTTAAGGCTTCCCTCTTTGTTGCACAGTAGTCCCAGTCAGCACAGCACGAGTCTCGATTAAGCTTGCTTTCCATGCATGGATTGGTAATCTCTCTTGAAAGGAACTAGATTTGCTTTGATGGGGATTTATATATCAATCTAAGTAGCCTGATGGACTATTCTTTGTCAATCTAGCTTGATGGATTTGTGACTCTGCTAGCATTCTTTTTTACTGAGAGCCTTACTCCATCTACTTGCGTCTTCACTACTAAGTGTTCCATGTTGTAGGAGGGACCCATATGTATCTTCTCTATACTTCCTTATTTACTTAACCTCCTCTGCTAACTATTTCACGTCGCGGCTAGTTGTGTAGAAACAATAGATAGAGACCGTTGTAAGTATGTACCCCACGACGAACGGGCTCACTACTTCTAGTGCCGCTATTAGAAATAAATATTGATGTTGAAAACAACGCTGCCAGTTCGGCTTAGGTAGACCCCAACCGATTCGGAAACTAAAAATTGCCGAGTAAGCTAGTGACTGAAATAAGCGAGCTAGCTTACCAGGGGTATTCTTTTTTCAGTATGAGTTCGATTAGTCTAATCACTTAGACTTGGTTAAATCACTTGAGCTCTTTATCTGATTTAAGTTCCAGCTACTTGCTTAAATTTCAGTTTATCTATTTTAAGTTTTCGGCTTGGAGTTTATCGAATGACATAGCCCTCGGTCCTCTTCTAATCTAAATCCGGATAATCGCGTGTCTCCCTACGAAGGCATATTGCGAGATTATTTTGAGTCTCCTCAGCAAGAAACCGAAGAGGGCGCTTCCTGGATCACAGAAGACGACATTAAGAACGGATATTAGCTTGGTTGATAGTACCATTTCAGACTCCGTTCCTGCGGTCATTAAGGGTTTAGGGTTTAGGGGCGTACACATAGCATGACGTGAATTATGTATCATTTGGTGACGTTGTGCTTCAGGATTCTCGCAGGGTAATTAAATGCTCGCATTGCGAGGAATATAGACCCAGGCCCCAACAAAAAAATGCGGCGGAGACCCCATGAATGAGTGGATGGGGCTGATGCCTTATCTTTTGTGCTTTTTCCTATTTAGGCTGGCTCCACCAAAAAAAAAAAACGTCAATAAAGCACCAATTATCATTTGATAGCACTAGGGGATTTATCAAAAGGAATTTATATGAATATGCAAGATTCCATGATCTTGGGATGTGCTAACTATACTAGTGTGGCATGAACTAACTATAGTGCACACTATGATCTGAAGTATAGAGCCTGGTGTACTGGCTGGCCTCATATGACCATGTGGAGTTCCAAAAAGGCTGTAAAAGAGATGCCTTGACATGGTTTCCAAAAGACAGCTTGGGTAGACCCCAACCTAACCTAACAGCCTAACTTAACAGCTTGGCGACCTTCTAACTCTGAGAAAATAGCAGAATCGGGAGTAGCAGAAAACGAGGAGTATAAGAAGTTTCTCAAAGAGGAAAAGGAGACAGAAGACGAGGGTAAGAAAATTATCGTGGAAAAGATCAGGGAAGCAATTGGTAGAATCAAAAAGTGCTGGAACAAACACAAACGCAACATCGCGGCGACAACAGAGAATTCTGAGACAGGGGCGGAGAGAAGCGGGGCTGAAGAAGACAATAATGTGCAAGACTGCCTCCAGTGGGAAAGAATCGCGAAGGAAGTTAAGGAAGAAATGCAGAAGGAGAAAGAAGCAGGAGAAGCCGAGATGAAGGAAACAACCGAAAAAGCCGATGTACCTCTATTAAGGGTTGGAAGTTGGCATCTCTATGCGCATCTCTATGGCTTCTTCAAGTAGGAAAGCCATAGATATGCGAGCTAGAGATGCCAACTCTCAACCTCTAACTCTAGAGGCTGCGACAGGAAACGACGGAGCAACAGGAAACGAGGGAGCAACAGGAAACGACGGAACATTAGAGGCTTCCTTCTTTGAAGAGCTGGCATCGGAAGAAGCGGACTTCGAGACTAGAATAGAGAGAAAAATCAAGAAGGAGGAACAAGAACTCGTTGCTGCCGGTCTCAAAGTTTTAGAGTATGGCAGGAAAATCATTCATAGAAGATTCAAGAAAGATATAGTCAAAGATATTGATATAGTCGAAGACATAGTTGTCAGAGACAAATAGTTGTCAAAGACATAGTCAAAGACATAGTCAAAGACATAGTCAAAGACATACTGATAATTGAAGGCATGTAGTGGTCTTCTTTAGTGGTCAAAGACATACTACATGCCTTAGTAGACAGGAGTTGTTGGAGTTTTTGGAGTACAACCAAAAGGTCAAGCGAGTGTCCTGGGCTAAATGATACTTTCATAATGGGCTGAAGAGGATTACGATCGAAAAATACGAAGAAAGCGTCGCGGAAGAGGATTATGGCATGAAAATAGTGAAAAAGTAACCCATATCGCTCAGTGAAGATCTGCGTAGACGTGCGTGGAGGCTTCACAAAACTACATGGGATATGTTAGATAAAGACGCAGGCCAGAATAAATTACCGAGAATATATTTGCTTGAGTATGAATTCTGAATTTTGACGGTCTGAGTATTGATTCTGCGTAAAATTGCGTTGAATTCTAAGTATGGACTCTGAGTGAAATTGCGTTGAATTCCGAGTAATGAGTATGAGTAAAAGTTTTTCTTCTTCATACTGAATGGAAGAAAATTACAAGCCCTTGCCAGCGCAGACGCCAAATCCTTGTCGGGAGCAAAGATGAAGCCGCAAAAATCGAGCAAGGGGTGAAACAATTTTATGATTTTCTCACTTATCTCTTATTCGAAGAGTCAGTCGTTCCTTGTAGTAGTAATTCTGATCATAGGTCTGCAGTAGAACATGTTGACATCTTGATTCATCGTAGAAATTTTGCACAAATATTTTCTTTTGATGCTTTAGTTTTTGGATAAAGAGGGCCTTACAGCCGTGAACACACACACACACACACACAAGTGGTCCATTTGGAAGAAAGTAACCCTCAAAGACATCGTCGTCCTCATCGTCCTTCTCCTCATTATCATCCTCATTATCATTATCTTACCCATTATCACTTTTATGACTCATCGTGACCAGGGAAGGAGGTAAATTGGTACAGATTTGCGCTTGTGATGCTCTAAGCATAGCGCGAAGAGGACGAGAACAAGAAGAAAAATGACCTCGTACAGAATGCCCGTCTTCAGATCGAAGTGTGTGTCAAACATGAGGACCTTGAGCCGGAAGCTTGCATTGCGCAACTTCGCGAGCATCCGGAAACTGCCACGGGTGATCTGAAGAATGTTGTTGAGGGCTCTGCACCTCCACGAAATCCTGAAGGGTCTTCGCCTCGTCCTGCAGCTGAAGATGCCTACATTAATACTGTTGCTCAAGAACCTGCTCGAGTTTCTGGTGGTAGTGCTGCATCTGGGTCTGGTTCCGGGAATATCAATCCTGTTACAAGTGGTATGACTGATATTACGAGGGTCGTTATTTTGTAACAACTGGAATATTTGATGAGTCTTTAATTTCATTGTTTAGGAAAAGGAAGAAGGAGCTGATCTTTTTCACGTGAGAGCCAGCACTGCCACTCGCGTCCTGGTTAGAGCAGGCTGTGAGTACTCAAGTTAAACTGGCAGACGTGAGTGGTTGCTGAAGAGCCAAAAACAATACTACGTGTTTTATTCTATCTTGCCATTGAACAAAGGCTATAAATATGTGGTCAGCATGTACTTGCCTCCGGTCTGACCTACCAAATTAGTTTCGAGTCCATACCCCAGGTACCTAAGAAGTCAAGGATGCTTCCGAAGATCATGATTGACTCCAGTAGGTTCCAAAGTACAGATGATTGATTTTTTTTTTAATGCCTCCCAAGGAGGGGCCGACATTAATAAGCAACTTACGTCTCTGGGTGAAACGTCTGCCCTAGGGGGCGAAACGAGGTCAAGGTCAGGGGAATGGAAGAGATGTTGTTGGTCAATGCGTCAACTACTAGAATAATGCGCTCTTCTTCCTATGCGGTAAAGATCAGCTCCTTTGTTTTCTAGGTAGGAATAGGAAGAAGGAGCTGATCTTTACCGCGATATTTTTTCGTTCTTTTTAACAACTAGCAGTGTTGTTTGGGAGTTGCGCTCAGAGTCCATTGACCGGCTCAACGAACTTTGACCTCAGAGTCAAGTTCACTCTGAAGGTTATTCCGAACAAAAATGTTTCAGTTTCTTCGAAGTCAAGATTCTAATGCATCTGGCGAAGAACCAACGGGAGTTCCGAATAGACAGCCAAACGAGAGGGACGCTACCGGCAATGGTGCTGACACATCGGGAGGCGCTGGATCAGGGACTGGATCAGGGAATGGATCAGGAGCTGGATCAGGAGCTGGAGCAGGGACTGGAGCTGGAGCAGCAGCTGGATCAGGAGCTGGAGCAGGGACTGGAGCTGGAGGAGCAGCTGGATCAGAAGTTGGATCAGGAGCTGGAGCAGGGAATGGATCAGGAGCTGGAGCACGGACTGGACCTGGATCAGAGGCTGGATCAGAAGCTGGAGCTGGATCAGGATTAAGGCTCATTTCTAAGAGTTTCGTTAGCAGGATAAAACTACTCCTCTTCTCGTGTGTGCTTTTTCTCCTACCTGAGTGCGGAGCAAGAGGCTCTGCTTTTCCGCAAGGTTATTCTTCTACTTGATGACAAAATTCTGTCGAAAGTATGAAAAGAATGAGTTGAGCTTAGTCTTCGCGTCAGCTCTAAGACGCGGAGGAGGAGGAGGCCACAGTCCACTGAACGCACCTGACACCTCCGGCAGCTTACAGGAAGAGTCCAGTCATGATGTGGACGGAAAAGAAAAAGCACGAGCAAAAAAATCACGAAGCGAACGAGGAACAGCAGGAAATCCTCGCGCACAAACTGAAGGCTTAAGGCGATCATTTAGTATTACCTTATCTTTTTCCACTATCTTTTTCTGGTTTTTGTTTTTTCTAGTTAGGTGCCCCACCACAATTATCTGTGTCAGGTGGAACACTAAACTGAGGAAACTTATTGCACTACTTCTCTTGGAGAAACAAGTGAAATTGAAAAGGAAAGAGCGCATTGCAATATCTAGAAGCAAGAGCTCACCTTGAGCAAGAGCTCATCTCTAGAGCTTCTAACACCAGACGCTGGTGGTGAAGAGGAAGGGGACGCTGGTGGTGAAGAGGAAGGGGACGAGGAAGAGATTGCAGTTAAGGTTACCGCGACCTTAAATGGGTCCTAGAGTAGAAGACCTTAAATGAGTCCTAGAGTAGAAGACCTTAAATGAGTCATAGAGTAGAAGTAAGTAAATAAGTCAGCCAGAGACCCAGAGTAGAAGTAATTAAGTTCTTCTAAGTGTAGAGTCGACATAGATCTTCTAAGACATAGAGTAGAAGTAACTAATGCTCGCAGTTAAGAGGACCTTAAATGAGTCCTAGAGTAGAAGGACCTAATAACTACGCACGACTTCTATATTTCACCCCAATCAAAGTAAGTCACTAATTACTACTCAACAACCTAATTACTACTCCAGTAACTACAATAACTTGCCTGCAAGAATAATCACTACTCTTCTGCGGCTACCTGGTGGCCTTACTAGAGGAAATCTTCTCAAAAAGATACTCTCCTACGTGGGACGATAAATAATCCTTAGTCCACTACTAGTTGTACCGTAATGACACTTGATGCTAATCCTAATAGTCGGCCAGTCTCAGTTTTTACTCGTCTCACTCCTTTCCTTAGCCATCATGATAGGTGTCCACTTCTACAGTCATATGTCACTCTCCTCCTCTACGACACTATATCAATCAAGAGAATACAAATGCAACGCTGTATCAATCACAATTGTTTCGTTTTGCCGATGATCAAGCACGGCCATTTGAGACGCATTGACTGACTGACTGACTCAATCACAAGAGTTCTCGAATGCAAAGACTTCTTCTAACCCACCGAGCGGAAAAGTTGGCGGGGGGTGTTGCGGCTTCTTGGAGTCGGCGAATGGTATCGTATGCCTCAGAAGCTGTGAGGAAGGCGAAATCGGTGTAGAAGATCACGTTAAGGCCTTTTGGGAATCTGACTTGATAGTAGCGCATTATTCTAGTAGTTGACGCATTGAGCCTTGGACACCTGATTTAATAGGAGCGTATTACTGTAAGTAATTTTAGGAGTTGACGAGCCTTAATACTCACAATAGTAATGCACAATATAATTACTCGCATATATCACGGATACTGATACACAGTAGGATAGGTTCTTGCGGAGAAGAAGACCTATCCTTGTCGTGAGTATAGGTTTTAATGCCTCCTAAGAAGGAGCCGACATTAATAGGCCGACATTAATAATGTAATCCATAGAAGTACCCCTAATCCTAACACCTACAAAAAAATAAAAACTCATCAAATATCCATGTTGTTAGAAAGTATAAACGGCCCTCATAATATCAGTCATACCACTAACATGACCAACAACATCTCCTCCATTCCCCTGACCTTGACCTCGCTTCGCCCCCTAGGGCAGACCTTTCACCCAGAGACGTAAGTTGCTTATCAATCATCTGTACTTTGGAACCTACTGGAGTCAATCATGATCTTGAGAAGCATCCTTGACTTCTTAGGTACCTGGGGTATGGACTCGAAACTAATTTGGTAGGTCAGACCGGAGGCAAGTACATGCTGACATATTTATAGCCTTTGTTCAATGGCAAGATAGGATAAAGCACGTCAGACACAAGGTCTACCACTGAAACTCTTCTAGGCAAGAATAGAGCACGTCAAGCTCTAGGTCGTAGTATTGTTTTTGGCTCTTCAGCAGCCACTCACGTCTGCCAGTTTTGCTGGTGGGCCCGCACCTACCCTAACCTAAGCTCTTCTAGGTGACGGAAGAGGCTTAACTTGAGTACTCACAGCCTGCTCTAACCAGGACGCGAGTGGCAGTGCTGGCTCTCACGTGAACGGAGACGATATCAGTTCGTTGGTTGGGGTATTCTTCGTGGTCTCAGCACATTATCCGATACTGTTACGGAATCAGCTGTCCCTCTTTATTCGTTGAGTCGCGCGCGAACATTATAGTAAATAATGATAGTAATGAATGAATCCATTTTCTTGTTGCGAAGCATGTTAGAAGCAGGAAGGTTCTTTGAATGAGTCAACCTCGAGAAGCGTGCGTGGTACCTCCCAGACGAGAAGAAAAACTGCACTCAGCATATATTTTTGAAAAGGATCATGCATATTGACTAGGGAAGTTGCTCCTCTGGACCCCACGTGGCAAATATAGTGGGCTAGGAAGTTCCTCCTTACTGCAACAAGATTGTTTTAGCTTCCTTGACTATTTTGAAAACGAGAAAGAGAGAAGAAAAACACGCAAGCAGCTTGAGAGGCTCAAAGAGTTGCAACGTCGAACGCGAACGAGAATAAGAGTTAGCGCTGTTTTTTGTTGTTGTTGCAATCATTTTTTTAAGATGTGAAAGCCTTTACGCGTGTACAGTAACCCGAGGCCATACCTGGCTCAGCCCGCCAGAGTAGCACGCCAAGCCACGAACCCGAGAGGGCTCGCCGCTGCCGTATCCGCCGCGAGCCCGATTCGGCCCCGTCTTGCATGCTTCGGACAACTCAGCCTCGCGAACCCGAGCCCGAGCCTGGTCCCGCGAGCGCGGCTCCTTGCGGGCCCGGCCCCGTGCCCGCCCAGCTCCGTGCGGGCCCGGCCTTGTGCGAGCCTGGGCCATAACGTGCCCCGCCCCGTGCGAGCCCAGCCGGCATCGCCGGCTCCGTGCGAGCCCGAGCCGGCCCCGCGGGAGCCCAGCCCCGTGCGAGCCCAGCCATGTGCGAGCCCAGCCCTGTGCCAGTTGAGGTGGGCCCCGTGCGAGCCTGTCCCCGCGCGGGCCCGGTCCTGCCGGATCTGTGCGAGCCCAGCCGGCCCCGCGTGAGCCCAGCCCCGTCCCTTCGAGCCCCGCCCCGTGCGAGCTCAGCGGGCCCCCTGCGAGCCAAGTGGGTCCCGTGCGAGCGTGGTTCCATGCGAGTCCAGCCGGCCCCGTGCGAGCCGAGCGGGCACCGCGGGAGCCAAACGGGCTTCGTGCAAGTCCGGCCCCGTGCAAGCTCAGCCGCGTGTGAGCCTGGTCCCGTGCAAGCCCAGCCGTGTGTGAGCCCGGGCAGGCTCGTTTGAGGCCTGCCCCGTG